TTTCAAAACGATATTGACAACTAAGCAATAATATATATTTAATTAAATATTTTGTTGAATTATGTTAACATTCAGTGGGGAAGTGCAAGTAAAGATCATCATAATATCACATTGCAAATACTAATGACCATAATAATAATACAAATCATAACAATAATACTAATTTAATAATAATAATAATAATAATAATAATAATAATAAAAATAATAATAATGACCACTTCAAAGTGTGACGTTGACGGAAAAAAGTTTGACAAACCTGGACAGCTTGGCGACCCAATGGACACATCCCGGCCTTATATCTCTCAATACCACAGCTTTGGCCAAATTTATCTTTATGTTACTGAACTGTTCAATAATTTCCTCTCGAATTTCCTCAGAATAGGGCAGCAGCTTGTTGTAAATGACCTGTTTCTGGGGCTTGTACCCGAGGCCGCTGTCCTCCTCCTCCATGATTTCTTAGTTCAAATGTCTTGTCTCGACCTCAAAGATACACACTCATAGTATTTACGTCAAGTCACAGAAGCACACTAAAACGTCGCACTTTCACGATGATTTCTGCTCTTGTGTTGCGCCATGTTGTTTACGTCACTCCAGTGCTCAAAGGTAATACGGGGCAGGGTGGGCAAGTCCGTCCTAAAATAATGCTCGTAAAAGTGATACAGCTGCCAGAAACTGCCAGGACAACGCCCTCTGTCGCCAGAGTTCAGTGGTTTTTGTGACGTCATAAAGCTGTTTTGACGTCATGAGTTCATCTGCATTTACCTTTTCTTTTCCTTGTTTCACCACAGCCCCGAGTTAATCGTTTAGCAATATAAGCAAGTTCTTCAGACTCCAAGGAAAGGGAAAGCACAGAACATCGTTGTGATAGCTGTCGCCATCGAATTTCGTGAAATTTGCTGAATCGAAAGGCTATCAATAAGCGATGCATAGCACGGGCTGATTTTCTTTGTCCTCTGTATCTGATTTTACCAAATCGATTAGTTTTATTCGCGTATAGCGATGTTATTCAATAGACGACGAACCTCGAAGGGATACCGCTGGAAGGGTTGATGGAGTACCACTAACTTGTCTGTACCTTGACTATCAAGTCACTGACTTTAAATCTGTGCCTGTGTACAAGATTTTTAGGTACCCTAAAGATATTTTATAATGCAGTACATCAGTATCAAAATATATAATCTTTTATAAATAAATACTTTTCTCAACATCTACATGAATAAATTTGCCATGGTCTTACTCAACCGATGTTTTATTTAGTTGCTACTCAGACTCAAATTCCTTAAATAACTGTTTATATTCACTGTTCAACCCTGATGGATAAATAAATGTGGTGAGACAGAGGGTGGATATTAAACAGTATTCATATGAATATACAGTACCATGCCCATTAGTTGCGGCAGAATTTTGTATTTTATCCGGGATGTATTGCAGATTACAGATAAAACTTTACATAGTATACTTTAGACATATTTTTACCCCACTTGAGATTTTCTCCCTATCTCATCTGCTCGTCTCTCAACCCGAACAGTCTGTGGATAACATTGCATGTTCAGTTTCTGTTTGTTCGAATGGCAACAGAAGAGAAAAGGCATTTCTTGAATCAGCAAGTGTCATTCACAGAGTCTGAAAATATTTAAAACATTTTATTCACTTCATGTTGGTACAGAAACGTATTTTCAATTGGGTATTAAATGTAGGCCAAGGGACCTCTGCAGATATTTTTATAATGTTTTCAGGAATTAAATGACATTTTGCCTTTTTGCCATACGGTTGAATGCATGTAGAATGAAGCGAATAGAATCATTATTTTTCCTCGCTATAATGTAGGATGAACAGCTTTTGGCAAATACTCATCCGGGGTTGTGCGCCCCCCAAAAGTTTAAAGAGTACTTTTATAGGCGAGTAGAATAAGATATTCAGAGGCCATCTTGATGATAACATGTTCCTGAGCAGCAGTTTCTAATCTTTTCAGGTCAGGTACTCACCACCTGCCGCGTTATAACCTAGTTAATACAGCCTTCGTGCATGTAACTGTACTGCGTGGTAGATGGATGCGCCCGGAGTTTTGATGAATTTCAAAGAAACGTTGAGGCGAATGTTTATAAGTTACTATTACTATTGACAGGTTTTAAATTTTCATGATATATACATAAAATTCCGACATAACATTTATTTCTAATTCACACCTCTAGATACCATTTCACAGGTGGTGTGCGCACAGGTAAGATAATGCAAGGTCATTAATGGTCGCCAGGACATGAAACATCGACCACTATTGAATCAACGTATAATTGTAATTCCTGTGAACTTTCTATAACGTGAGCACATTTATTAGGAAATTTTGAACTTACAACTTTAAGAAGTTTATTTTGAAACTCATCTCTCCTTGTTTTTTACTCTGTAATGTTATCCGTATTGTTACAGCTGCGTCCCTGTTTTTTTTTTTTTTTTTTAAAAGAGGACTGTGATACCTGCACATACATTGCATCATTCATTGC